GTCATAGGTTTGAAAGTTGACAGGTGGTACTGGGCGCTGCGGATGGAAGACGGAAAGGCAGCAGCACTGCCAAGTATCATTGCAACTTCAGTTGAGAAACTGGTTTGCCAGCACCGCCGCGAGCGCCAGATTCTCCACACAAAGAAACCATCTGGCTGGAAGAAGAAGCTAGAAGATGCAAACCAGAGAATCGGGTCCATCGTCTACAATGTCCGCCATGGATGCCTAGCTTCAACTGCCTTCTTGAAGCGTTCCACGACGCGGATCAACGGCAAGGTGGAATTCACAAGCAAGGGCGCTGGACACGAAATTCTCAGGGTTCACTTCGAACTTGACGGTGAGGAACCGTCAGGGCCGGGCACCTACTATTTGTCGAGCCTCAAGTTCGAAAAGAAAGCCATTTGTTGTGTGAAGTCTTCTGGCCAAGAGCGTGGCGGTTTTGACCAGCTTCGCGAGAATTATGCAGGACCAGCTTGCAGTGTGTAGCCAGGTGCACATGACATAGGACATAGGCCTTCAAGGCACATGTTATAAACAGATTTAATACAGTAGTTATAAACACATATATATATATATGTATTTCTAACAAGATCTCAATGATACATTGTGTGGTGGATGAGATAGGAATTGAGTGTCATTTGTTGTCGTTTGCCACGAGGAGATGATGCCAGCTCTGTTGAGGAAGAAGGTCATAAAGAAGGTGATGAGGATGAGACCGATACAGATCCTCAAGATACCGGTGATGGCCTCATGGCACCTCCAGATGTGGAACCTGCATGCATTGAGGAACAAGAACTTGATGAGTCCACTTCAGATTCAGAAGGTCTTGAGGAATATGATGGTGATGCAGCTGAGATTGAACATGAGGAGCCTGTTCCCGCTCCAGAGCTGCCAGCCGGAATCAATCCCGGTGCAGCGAATCGCATCAAGAGATACCACCTCTCTCCTGAGTGGTTGCATTTGCAGGATGCTGGTAACCACCTCCTTGTCTTGCCCGATGTTGAAGGTTGTGGCGTGAACCGCCACCCTGCTGGAAACTTTTGGAGTGCCCGGTACCCAGGCCACCCCATCATGACGGCGACATACTCCGTGTCCCGCAGTCCTTTGCGCTGCCTTGTGATGTGCCTTAGGCACATCATCAGGCTTCATTTAGAGACGAGTGTTTGTTCTAATGCAGATATCTGGGAAGCCCAGATGAACGACTTGAAGGCCTTTTTGTGAATGATGGTCAAGACCCGAGTGTGATAAAACACCTTCAGCCTATGTCATGAAGTGTTGTCAACTGTTGTTGTTTCCCTATAAACCTCCTTTGTCAATCAGTTCATGGTCTTGACCAAAGTTCGACTGACCAGCACAGCGGATCACCAGGCCACAAACCATGGTCAAGAGCAATTTGTTCATGCAGCCCCGTGTTCCTATGTCACGTATAACTACTACATCCCTGTGATACGCGTTCCATCTTCCTATGACCCATTTGCTTATGTCGTGTATACCTATATATTATATATATATATTAATTGCTATGACTATTGAAACACTTTGCGTTCCAAAGCAGGTTCTTGACCAATGCATGACTCAGAATTTAGATTTATACATGGTTGGCATTCACAAGCCAAACCGATCATTAAGCCGCATGGCTTACAAGATTTAGGAATGGCAAAAAGCCAGATGTGTTTGAGAAGAACAACGTGGGTGGCAAGAAGCCACATGACATAGCTCAGGCGTTGGGAAACAAACAAGGCGCTGGACTAAGTCATTGAGCATTTTCTGGTGATGTATTCACCTTGGGCAGGTGCTTTATTTCATGTTTTTTTAAGGTAAACTGGCTGGCACGATGCTCACACACCCTATGTCATCCTTCAGTTTGGTACGTTCACCTACTTTGCTAGTGGCTGATGACTTAGGACTACCCCTAGGGATCTTCCTATGTCATAATTTGAGCCTATTCCTATGTCATCAGCCCCTAGTATATATATATATATAGAGCGCCGCCCGCTGGCAGGTGATGGCCGCGAGCGACGAGAAGAGCGAGTCCGAGGACGCGAGCGAGTACGAAGAAGGCAGTGAGTCGGAGGAGGCCGACAGACCTGTCTTGAAGGCTCGTTCTCCAGAAGCAGAGCACGAGGAGGCTGAGGAAGAGAAAAGAGACAAAAAGGCCGACAAGAGGCGTTCGAGGGACAGCCACCGTCACTCGAAGCACAAACGCTCCGAGAAGGAACACAAAGGGCGCTCCAAGGAGAAACACTCCAAGAAGGACAGGAAAGAAGACAAGCCAGAGCACCGGGGAAGGAGCACAGAGAAGCGCCGAGGAGAGAAGCAGCCGGCAGATACACGCAAGGGAGACAACCCTGGGGATCCTCAGTGGCAAGAATAAGTGTATACAGTGGAAAGGGGCGTAAATTTGAAAAAGTATAACTGTGCGATTCTTCAGTGGCAACTTTTTGAATTGTTGCCACTGCTCAAGAAAGGTCACCTCTCAGCCATGTGTGACGCAAATATAAGCGGTTTGGATGGACTTTTGGCGCTATGTTTAAGGGACATGCATACCAGTGGGGAAATTAATTGCGCAAGCTGGCGATGACACAATTGCCACCGCAGTCGCTTTAAAAAAGCGTGCGCGCACACACACTCGCGCGGACGCGCACACACAAACACATGTGTTTGTTGCTGTTAAATGTGCATTTTTCCATGTATGGCGCGAATCGGTGAAATAGTTTTAGTCACCGTTTATATGAGAGATGTGTTTCCGATGTGTACTTTCATCGGTTGTTTGCCCAGGAGCATGTCTTGCACATCATTATGTGTGTTTTCATCGCAAGCTGCGCTGTTTTTGAAGGTGGTATACCACACCAAAGGAAACAAGGGTCTGTCGTTGACGCTACGTACCAGTTTTGATTTGCGCTACTGCCACAAAAGCACACCAAGAGTGGGCCTGGATATAAAGCTTGGACTCATGTTTAGCTAGGCTGAGGTTGCATTCGAGGTCAGATTCAGTGCTTTTCTTGGCTCGACCTTGAAGCTTGAGACGGTTGAGTCAAACAAAGGGCGGTATTTTAAAGTCTTTATATCATGTCAATCAGAACATGGCTGAGCATAGACATGGCATGATAGTTTTGGTGCAACAACTTTTTCTGCAGTGTTTCTGTACCGCCCGCATCGTGGCAGAAGGCCTGACACACACACAGAGAGATTTCCTTCTGATTGGCACGCTGTACTTTTGGTTCTTGTGGCCCCATTTGCAATCGTTGGGAGGCCCATGTTCGGATGTGCACTCGAGCATTGGAGGCAGTCGTTGAGTGGAATTAAAAAATTTAGATTGGACATGCATGAGTGTGTGGTCTTAATTCTTCTCTGCGCTCCGAAGTGTTGCCGGGGGTCAAGTCTAGGCGGGGCAGCCACGGATCAGTGCCATGGGTGTCATTAGGCTGGCTCGTAGATGGGAAGCCAGGCTGAAAATCAAAAAGCGGCTACAAAGAGGTGAACCCTGGATTCGGCTACCTGATCC